CTTCTAAAAATTCTTTGCTGTTCTTGGCGTTCTTTCTGTTCAAGATTTGAACATTCTTTAAATTGATTATGTGTGTACTGAGCTCTGGTCCATCGGATTTTATTGGTCATAGATATCTCAATCGCCTTTGTTAAAATTATCAAACCTTCTGATATGAGTATTTTCTCTAGCTTTCTCCTTTGGTTGTCCGTGACGTGTTGGTATTTGCTTACCATTTTGCTTAATCATTTTTCATCCCATTGACCCAATTATGCATGCATGCATCATTCGAAATATTGGTAATTTTTATGGTAAGTAGATAAATATTTTTGGTTGTCTTACATCATTACGATAAAATTAAGTTTTGTCATTAAATGATGATGAAGTGTTACCAGTTGATGTCTTGATAATTTGTTACTGTTTTCATTGTGTTTTGCATGATTCTGTAGTACAGTTGAATTTATTACAAACACAATATATAATGAATGAAATTTCTTCTCATTTATATACACACAACCTGTTATCTTAACACTTTTCGTTTCACACCACACTTCTCTTACATACGAATGTAAATACCTACTTTAATACTTGTTAACGTTGATTGAATGACCTATTCAGAATACAGTAAACCGGAGAATCATGTACCTATTTATATTCGATAATTTTGATGTTTGATTATATTTCCTTGAAAAAACTTAAACCAGATTGCCAGGCGAAATGTTAGATTTACTTCGAATTCCTTCGCTGAGATTTTACAAATACATTCTTCCTCTTTAATGTCTCACATTAACTCGGCGCCCAAATACTATGAAACTAATCGATCAAATTTAGACGAAAGTTCTTATTTAGTTTATTATTGTCATTCATAAATAATTCTGGTATTTTTAGGTGATTGAAATGAGGTAACAAAAGACCTATTTTTAATTCTTGACATTAATTTCTCTTCATAGTGGCTATTTAAGGTGATGAGTTCAGTAATCAGATCTTAATGTTCTGTGAGTTGACCAAAACTGCTTTTAATATCTTACCATTACTATTAAGAGGGAGGTTTAATTTGACACTTACAGTACGCTACATTTCAGAATGCCATAAGCGTAATTGTAAAATAACTCAATAGTAGTTTGGTTATCGTTTTTGCTATTTTTTTTGCATTAGCAACCATTCATAAGACTTGTGTCATAAACTATTTTCATACATTTCATAGTGGAGCGACCGTAGTGTAAAAGTGGTAAGGTGTAATTTACGATTAGTTATGCATTGCGAGATCTAGTGTGATTCGCTGAATACCAACCACTTTTATCATATTTTTAGGACTACATGAAGATTTAGCATCAGGTTCGATTTAGTTCTTGTAATTAGAATCTTATGAAATTCTAATTAAGAAGCTTTAATAGAAATATTGTTCTATGGTTTCCATTCAATGTAAAATAATGTCAGTAAGTAACTGAACCGTAAGGAAACGAATTAACACTTTTACGTAGTGCTTGCATTGATAGGACATACATGATATTCAAAATGATGTTCTGGAAGATCCAAAAAGTTCAATTCTTTATTTACATTATTTTACGTCTTCTATTGTCGTGAATTCTAACCATACTGGACTATTAGATCATAAGTTCCTTTCATTTTCTTGAAAAAAAAACAGAGTAATGATGTAGCCATTGAACTGATCGTGATGTTAAATCAAGCCATTGCAACATATTCAGAAATCCAGCGTATACTTCAACTCTCCCTGGCCATACGAAACCACCATACCACTTTTCTGGCATTAAGAAGGAAAATCAGCCCTTCAGATATAGTATTATCTTCGTAGGATAACTGTAGTGACAACGTTATGCATTAGTCTCAGTGATATTTTAGGCTTGTAGTTTTCACCATTTTCGCAGTCCGTGGTTTTGTATTGAGCAAAAACTCCCATAGTATTATGTCTATTGCAGTACCCCTTGGCTTCCAGTATCGAGGGAAACAACTTCAAGTCATTCCAAGCTTTAAATTAAACATTGAAGTAAGCTCATCAGTTCTTATACGAATAGTAGAATTGAGACCTTAAATGGGGTAGCATATACATTTAGCACTCAATACATTTAGGTTTTGCAGTGTGCAAATGTCATATTCATAGATAGGTAGGTAGTTAAATATTAAAGTTCGCAAACAAATTACCATATTTTCCAAAACTTATAGCTTTTATAACCTTAGAAAACAGTTGGATATCTTTTTGGTGTATTGTTGCATTCACTAAGATATGACATCAGCTTGTTTACTTTAGAGCGACTTTTAAGTGCATCGGTCAATGAAGATGATGTGTTTATGTTATTGCCCTATAAGCATAATGAATGATAACTTTGGGATCCATTTATGGACCAATACTATACGTATATTTTTGTCGCATAACTGTTAAATAACTAAGCTATTCATATTCATGTCCCACTATTTATGAGCCTTATTTTAACCTATGAACTATTATTATACGATTTACCATTCTTGAATTATGCCCTGTCTATTAATTACTACCTCCCTCATTCATAGCCACATTTGGCCAAATCTTGTACAAATGTTGTTTCCTATTTTATTGGTCTGTTTAGCTGGTATATTAACTCAGTATGTTTGAAATAAATGATTCATATTGCAGAGGCTGAGATTTGTGTTCTGGACTTAACTGGTTGGGCTAGGCAGGAAGCAGGGCCATTAAGGACTCTAGACTGCTCATATGGGTTTACGCGTCATTGATCCAATCGATAAATCACTGCTCTCTAATTGGCGCTATCGTTACGTCATACATTAACAGGGCACAAGTCACAAGTTATGACAGTTAATACTCTTGATCCTGTTCAGTTGTAATAACGTTCTATCGATTGTCTCTAATATTCCCATATTTTTGACTCAGTTTATAGCTACAGATACGTTAAGCGTTAGAGCTCAGAATGAGTGAGAATAACGAATGAAGCATGGACAATTTTTGTAATTATGGTAGTTGTTTTAAACGATCGTAAAGACCATTGTGGACAAACAAATTTTATTGTACCATTGGTTTGAATTTGTTGATATGAAGATTTCTATGACAATTTTTGTTCTTTTGTTCTGGTTCGGTAATCGACAGTAATTAATTACATCGTATCAGTTCTCAGTTTCGACAGAAGTACCCAAACTGTAACAGTATCATATTCATCAGCAAAGGGATGTGGAGATTTTTTATTTTCATTGGAATAATTAATCAGTCAATGTTAGACCACCATTAAGTACTTAGAAGCACTGGACGACCGGTTCGTTCTAGTATAGGACTCCTCAACAACGGGCATCGACGACCCAGCATACGGATGTTGAACCCAGGAAATTCGATCTTGCGCGCGAACGTTTACCTTTAAACCACTGAGCTTGTATCCCATGGCGTTAATGATTAACCACAACCCTATATTGAAAATTATGAAGTGGTCACTAGTGACCAGCTTCGAGAGGGAATTCGCATATCTGTAGTCAAAAGCCGAGATCAGTGGAGTTCAACCATGCCGAGTGTGAGGCTGCTACTCACCGAAGACAATTGATGTTTACGCAACATCATGGACTGATGGAAGTTGGACATTAGCATCGTTAGACGCTGACCTATTCGCCTAGAAGTCAAACGTTCGCGTGCGAGATCGAAGGTCCTGCATTTGAGTCTTGAACACGAGATCGTGAATACACACTGTTGAGGGGTCAAATATTAGAACGAAACGGCCATCCAGTGCTTCCAGGCTCTTGATGGTGGTTTAACATTGATCGACTCATAAGTACCATAATTGTTTTTTGGGTTGTCGCAGTACATAATTTCCTGACAAACTCAAACATCTAACAGATAGATTAGAGCAGTGAAAATCTTTTAAAAATGAAGCATTATAAGAAAATCTCCTTGAGTTTACAATGAGTTTTATGTGATAAGAATTAAGACAGATTTCTATGGGGTTTGTATGTTTAAATTCTATCACAGTATGTCGAAAATAACAGCTTTTCATTCGACAGTCAAATCTTAGAAAAAAACAGGTGTCCAATGATAATATCTTGTATGTTTTTATAATAGCTTCGATCTAGTTGATGAAGAGTAACTCGTCTCGTTGTACTAAAACTATTGGTTGTTGTTTATGTTTGGTTCGGGCATAAAAGAGGAAATTATCGTACTATCAATAGTGGAAAACATTTTTCTGAGATATGCAGACATAAGAATGATGTTGTGTTAAAGTGTTTTCATCCGTAGGTTTCTAGAAAAGCAATTAAATCATCATATGGTTATGAATCGACACATATTTTCCAGTTTCCAGATATGAGCAATCAGTCTTAAGCCATAATTTAAAATATCCAGTTAGTGTAAGCTGCGATTATTCAGGGGTCAAAGACACATCTTCATATGCATCACATATAAGAAACTATCTTGTATTGTAAATGAACTGCTTCAATTATTTCTATTCCTCATTTTTTGTGGACGTTTAGAAGAATCTACAAAAAGAATCTCCTTATAGAAATGATAGAAGATCCTAAATCTTCTATTGAAATACACTAAATTTAGAATAAACGCGATATGCCTAGCCTAAAATGTAATGTATATATTTACAAAGAAAAACCGAAACGAAAACTTAAATATTTACGTATTCACCCATTTACATGCTTGGGAAGTTCAACAAGTACTCTCTTAGTATTCATTCTGAAAGAATAATCGTTGTGGAAATACGCATGTGATGTATGCTACTTATGTCGACAGATATAAGTAGTATATAACACCAATCAGTGGTGGAATGCCTGGCAGCAAAAGACTTAGAAGATCGAGCTGAGGAGAATAGAAAGAAAAACAGGGAAGAATTGGAGTACAAAACAGAATTGAAGTGATCATAAAGTATTTAAAGGAAAACTGATGGAAGATATGTAAATGTTGTATTTGATGTATGGTTTTCATATTTTATCAAAGCTTTCTGTAATTTAGCAATAAACAACAATAATAATTGGTTATCCTCACTAGACTTCTTCGCTCACTACACGCATACCTAACATTTCAGGTATCAGTCACATGTCTTAGTCGTTATACTGACAAGAACTTGAGTAATGACGAACTAGAAATGTGAATAAAAATGAAGAAGTGTTTAAAGACATTTAATACCAAGTAGATGATTTACTCGATAAAATACTTTATAAGATACATAAAAAACACTTGAAGTGGTTTCATACATTTACCTTTTTAAAAATAAATGTAATATTGTATCTATGATGGAAATATGATAAAAAAAGATTTACGATTATCTGTCTATATATAAGTTTTATATAAAGTATTTTACTATTGCATCATCTGTACGTATTTTATGGTATATATATAGATGATGTAAGTGTGCAAACTAGCTGTTATATCCGAGCGAAGATTAAATCATGAGTAGCTTCTTAGATATTAATTGACTAATATTATCTATATATTCTTATGGTATAACTATTCAACAATTAGATTATGTATATTTATATTCCCTTTATTATAAGCTTTATTTTGACCTATAAACTATTATTATACGATTTACCATTCTTGAATTATGCCCTGTCTATTAAATACTACATCCCTCATTCATAGCCACATTTGGCCAAATCTTGTACAAATGTTGTTCCCTATTTTATGGTACGATGTGGTCTGTTTAGTTGGTATATTAACCCAGTATGTTTGAAGTAAATGATTCATATTGCAGAGACTGAGATTTGTGTTCTGGACTCAAGTGGACGGGCTAAGCGGACTCAGGATCAACAGGACTCTAGGCTGCCCATACCGGTCGAACGTCATTCGTTTTGACACAATGCTAAGATTGTATTAGTCGTATTTTGATTGGTGGATAAATCACGTGATAAAAAGCCGGATATAAAGTCACAAACTAGCAGTCGAAACCTGGCGCCAACTACTGTTGTATTGAAAACGCTGGTTTAACTAAATGTAATTTTACATGATAAAACATGAGACTGCACTGAAATTTACAGAAAATGTAGATACAAAATGAATAGTCTCAATAATAAGATTTGCATTCATATTGCTATGTTTGAGAGTTTTTTTCAATGAAGTTACTTGTATCCATAATGGTATGGTTATTCAGATATCAAGTTAGTATTCTTCAATTCAAATTTCAGAATACATTATCTACTACGTAACAATGATACACTTGTTTAGCAGGTGAGATATTCATCTCATTAGATGATAAGTAAGTTTATTTTGCCTTTACATTTACCCAGTTGACGTGTGTTGTGGATTCCAACAACATGACACACTTAAGTCTAAATGCTGCAGATATAGGTATGCAAATAAAAAGTGATATTTAATTCTTACGGTTGAAGTAACTATATTGAAATAAATGAAAATTTCATTACTTTATTCAACAGTTATTATGTTTATTATGAATGGAAAATAATGTCATTTCATACGGATGAACATATAGTGAAAACCTTTGGTTTACTATTTTGTTGCCAACTTATTTAAAGTACCACCATGTGAAGTGTACAACTATGTAATCAGCTGATGAATACTTTAATATCAAGCTTTCTACAGTATTATTTCCTAGTGTTTTTAAATAACACACTTGTTCTTGGATGATACAAAACATACTACGATGAATCAACTATGTTTTGGATAGTAATTCTGAAAATTAACTAAACTCGAGTAATATCGAGGTATACGCACAGTATGCACATATGCCAATAACAGACTGATCAATTGCAGTCTTAAACCTCAATGGGAAGATACAAGTCAAACAATACCAAGTGAATTTAAACTCGAGTATACTGTGGTATCGACAAGTGAAAAACTTTTTGTGACATCCAGTAGTTTCCCTTCAGGTTCTATGGTTGTGAATGAAAATTAATTTTGCAATGGGATGAATTACTTTAAAGCAAATACAATGTAAGCAGTTGGTAATGTCGGTAAAATAATGCTATTTGCGTAGAAATTCCCAGCATGTAATTGAAATTATATGAGTTCATAGAAGCTCTTCTTTTCAGGAGATCTTTCAAGGAAAGATTTCTAAGTAATAGTAGTAAACACTTTTGATTCATAATAAGTAAGAAGGATAACAAATTGTAATGAAATAAAAAAGATTAATTAAAGGAAATTCAATCAGATTTATTGCTTGAATTAAATCAATGACTATCAAATGATGACTTACCTCAATAAAATATCTTTCCAATCTTAATCGAGGTGATGTTTGTTATATCTCACATGTTCACAACTGATGTACTGACAAATATTAATGCTTAATTTCAATAGTTGAGATCATGAGTCAATTGAAGATAGATCACCATGGAAAACCTGAAACCACTGAACGGACATTTCGAATTAGTATGCCACTCCTCAGAAGTGCGCATCCACCACTCCATCTCGCACAATTCGAATACAGGACATATCAGTCTCGCGCACGAGCGCTCAACCATTAGACCACTGAGCTGGTCGGCATCTAACAGTGTTAATGTCTAACTTCAACCAATTCATTTAATTGAGCGACACATCCACCATTGTTATCAATGAGTTACTATCTCATAACTGACCCGGTTAAACTCCACTGGTTACTGCTTTTTACTAGAACTCTAGAATATACATCTTGAAGCCAGTCAGAAGGGGTTAAAAAAATTTCATATTTATCTTTTTAGTTGACTTTACATGAAGACAGTTTTATACATAGATTATTGAATTTTGATACCGTCTCTAAATAAATATCGTGGATATACACTTCTCGGGGGGTTTTATACCTGTATGAAACATCCGTCCAGTGTTTCCAGGTTTTCAATGATGTTCTAACTTAGATCGACTCGTGAATTCAACTTTGAATATACTACAATCTCGAGAAATCTCTATATAATGAGAAATACAATGGTTGATGGAGGTATATCTTTTAAGCTGAACATTTTTTATCATTCAGAAATTAAGAGCAAGTCAAATATAAATCCATCAGCCCTTTATTTCCATGTTTATCTTCACGTTATGAACAGAGTTTTTTTTTAAGGGAACATGTAAAGCAGTTGTAACACATCTGAAACCTATCTTGAAATAATTACATAACAAAAAATATACTCCATTTAATAATTAAGGTAACTTACTTGGACAAAAACTTGTAAAACCCAACACACCTATATTGATAAGAAATAAATGTTTTCTCAATAATAAGAGGTAAGTGAAGCCCTTTGCTATGATCCACCCTTAATGAATTATATATATATATATACCGCCCGTCGCTACTACCGCTTGAATGGTTTAATGAGGTCGTTGAATTGGTGTCGTTGTAGTGGCTTTGCTGTTCGAATGACGCTGAGAAGATGACTTAATTTGACTATTTAGAGGAATTAAAATTCGTAACAAGGTTTCTGTAGGTGAACCTACGGAAGGATCATTATCATGAACCAAAAATATAGAATGAAGCATGCACCTGGCTTAGTGGTATTTACCCTAGGCTTCAGCGGTTATATATATACATTTCATGGTCTGTACTAATATGCTACTTCGATGACTCTTCTACATAAATTCGTTTACAGATTTTTACCATTTAACGTAGCCACATTATTAATTTACTTAAATTAACATCTTTACTTATATATAGAGTACGAAAGTTAGCAAGACTAGAACTTATGGACTATATTTGAGTGATTCTATAGTTATCTTGAGAAAAATCAACCATTTGATACGTTTAGATTATCGTTATGAGTTTGAGCGAAGAATTAAGATCGAGAATTAGGTTTAGGACTTAAAGTTGGAGTGATTTTTACGAATTGGCATAGGCTTCAATTTCAAACTTCTATTTAGAAATATGGATGGATGAATTTCACGTAAATATTACAAGAGCACTGCCTGAAATGTTATTGATACGTCCGTAAATAACAGTCCCACCAACTGTTATATATACCTAAAACGGCTTTTTATATAAATCAATTGTTGTCTGGTAAACACATCAATTATTAACATTATGGTTAAACCCTGCCAGAAGCTTTTGAGAGACCATTTTAAATTCACAGGATTAAGACAAATTATTAAACTAATGTTCATTTCGTCACATAATTCTTCAACTCAACGATATTTCAAGTTCATGTATATGAAAATAACATCAGTTCATGTAACTGTATATCGATATAATTAGAGTTGCTCGCAAATGAACAGTTTACCAACAGCTTTTTTGATCTCTCTATTATACCGATCTAGGCAATTATGCATAGTGGCTAGAAGTGGAATCCAGGACGCGCGTTTCGTCCTATTTGGGGCTCGTCAGCTAGACGTACCTACATAGGCCGCCCACCAGCACTCTCCATCCAACCCTGTCCTGGGCAAACCTTTCCACCTCTTTCTGATATCAGCTGTGATTATAATAAACTTCGAAAAATGGTTTCTGGTTTAGTGAAAGGTTTATAATTTTCTTGAGGTATTTGTTAAATTCATATATATATAAACAAATTAATCTAGTGAATAGTTATTAAATAAACTTACATAACAAATGAGAAGCATCAGAAGATGGAAGGCACAGGAAATCTGAAAATATAACGTCTTTCTTAGGTTTAACTTGAATGTTATACAAAAACCTTTATTGAATTGATTGATCGTGACTGATATATTAAAACAAAATTTAACTTGTAATGGTTTGAATGATCGCTTTGTTGACATTTTTTTCAGAAGTTTGATTGGTTTTAGTTAGTATGTGTTTATCCTGTGCCACGATATAGTCATTTTGAAATAAGTTGGTATAGAATAAATGGAATTTGACTAATATTGAAATCCAAGAAGGAATAACCTAGACGATTACATAATAAGTTAAAAATTACACACGTTTAACAAGAGAGGGGTTATCCAAACTCAGTGGGTAGCGTATTGACATCTGATATGAAAGATACTGGCTGAAATTCACAGAGTGAACATCAACTCTGAGGTGCTGTTTTATATAGTTGATGAGTTTAAAATTGGATGAAACATCCATCCTGAATTCCACTGCTAGCCACATTCTATTTGAAATTTGCTTTACTTTTAAACGTACATTCAAAAATGAATGTCCATTTATTCACCAAATAAGCAGTTTACGACTGAAATACACTATCGGACTATCAGTATAATGAGAGGCTTATAAAGAATAATTTACAATTCTCAGAGTGAGATATATAGTGAATGTAATAGAACAGATATGCACAATAAGTGATGATCAGTATAATTAATGAAATGAATTATATATAATGATGAAGTAAACAAAATAATTACACAAAAGGATGAATACGTAATTTGATCTTACACAAGATAAACAGTAGAGTTGCTACGTACAAAATATTCATGGTGATTTCTTAATTGATAAGAACTTAAATGATTTTTATACACTTCTACAAACTATATTTTATCCAATACATCTTATTATTGGTCAATGCAGATAAGTAATATTCTTGAACAAACATGAAACTTCAACTGTGACATCATTATTTGATAATTGATTGAGTGCTATTATTGTAAAGTGTGATCGAAAAAACGAACCCACCAATGATAATATGAAACGCCCATCACCACATTAATTTTCTTTGACCTTGTATGACTATGCCTTGTTTATTCACCAATCACAATTTTATGTTCATCATAAAACAATATTGGTTTCATATTAGAAGGGTTTTTGTGGATATCACAGTAATTTCAATGGTTGAGATTATGAGTCGATTGAATCTAGACCACGATCCCTCCTCGCCACACATCCACAAAAACCCTTCTGATATGAATCAACATATGCTCATTAGTGAATGGCTTCAAGAGGTATACCCTAGAGTTCTAGTAAAAAGCAGTAACCAGTGGAGTTCAACCGGGTCAGTTATGAGATAGTAACTCATTGATAACAATGGTGGATGTGTCGCTCAATTACGTGAACTGGTTGAAGTTAGACATTAACACTGTTAGATGCCGACCAGCTCAGTGGTCTAATGGTTGAGCGCTCGTGCGCGAGACTGATATGTCCTGTGTTCGAATTGTGCGAGATGGAGTGGTGGATGCGCACTTCTGAGGAGTGGCATACTAATTCGAAATGTCCGTCCAGTGGTTTCAGGTTTTCCATGGTGATCTATCTTCAATTGACTCATGATCTCAATGTTCGTTTTGTTGACTGATATTTCCTATCCTCTAATTACTGTTCGGTATGTTACCTATGTCTCTGCTTTTCGCTGTTTAATAGACTGTATTGATTATTCGTATACGTTTTAGAAGCAAATAAAATTTATCAAGCCAAATAGCTTACTTGTTCTAAATTTGGCTAAGCCAAGGCTCTGTGTTCGACAGTCGAGAGAATAGTTTAGAATTATACTTGTAGGAAATTACTTCCTAGAATTAATTTGTAAAAAATGCTTTCGAATATATAATTCAAATTGAAAGCTTACTAATCTGTAAATAATTTCAATAGTTGAGATCATGAATCAATTGAAGCTAGATCAGCATGGAAAACCTGGAAGCACTGGACGGCCATTTCGTCCCATTGTAGGACTAGCTTCAATTGACTCATGATCTCAACTATTGAAATTACTACAATCTTTACAAAACCCCTTCTGATACTAATCTATAGACATTTTGTCTCAACAATTTCAGGTCTATTACATTGACTTTAACTATATATAACTTGTCATTATGAAACGAGGTAAACAACAGAGATTTAAACAAAATATAAACATATCATACTACTGTTTATGTATATAGTTACTATCATATTGTAAATGATATAGAGAATGTCTAATCAATAAAACTATGATATTCTCTTGTAAAATTATAAAAGTATAATACACAAAAATACTACTGTATTGCACAACGACGAAAACAGCCAACTGGTTTTCTAATCATATCGGAAATGATTGAATGAATGCATAACATGAAGTAATGAAAAAAATGTAAGCATTTCTAATGAAATTCGTTGATATTACTCGTTTCTTTTTGTGTTTACATGAGAAAACCATTGTTATCTGTATTGAGGATGCTAGACCTCCAGAAATCGTTAGGTAAACGTCATATTTTTTCGTAATTTTCATTTGAACATTTAAATTTCTCATGTTCATGCCAAAAGCGCTCATTTTTATCTTCCGATTGTATTTCCCACTTGGAAGGACCTTATCTGTCTTTAGTTTGTTTCATCTTCGTGTGACGTTTTCCAAAGACATTTTTATACTGTATATATACGTCCGAATCGTGTGCTTGTGGAATATATTTTCCCTCGTCTGAATCTAGTCTTCTTTCTCTAGTTATCAGGGCCGAGGTGCAGTGAGTAGTTTAGCTTGTCCTGTTGTTGTGTTGCTAACTTTCGTTCCGTTCACCGGTTTTAGCTGATCTTGTAATCTTTTCAAACGTGACAATCTGTTAAATAATTATTTGAAGTAGAACAATTACTGAAATACAGCCGTTCATTAAAGATTTATCTGACGAAATGGTCTGACAGTAAGAAAAACTTGAGACTTAGGTTTTTATTTCTTGAAATCCCTCTAGGAGCCTTCAAATAAGTGTTCAGAAGCTAGAAACATATTGCAAATGTTTGAATTAGTTATGAGTGCTCAGAAAATTTCCACATAATTCTATGAAGTGACAGATTATGCTTCCATCATACTAAATAAACACATTTCACATATTTTCCAGAAGTATTTATAATTCCGGGGTTATAAACTTTTACATAGTTTTTTTTCTGTACATGAAATAACCTTCAAAATAATGCTCCCTTCATAAATCCCGCCGTTTAACTTTTTGTTCAGAGTTCAAGTATAAAAGATTCCATATGGCTGACAAACGGTTACAAATTCACTTTTTAACGCTCAGGTTTCAAGTAAAGCATAAAAATTATTACTAGTTTTTTTAAGGTAACGTCTACACATGCATGCAATATACTGGAAGATGGTTGAAGTAAATTGTAGCGCCAGATACCTGTATTATTATTATCAATTACTTACGAAAACATTCACAGAACTGTAAATCATTCCGACTTATTGTTTTCTAATTTATGACCAATAACCCACGTGATTACAAATATCATTTGTTGATGGAGTTTTGTTCTCTGAGCTTGGTGGTTTAGTCGTGGGGCTTTCATCGTTCTTCTGAACGACAACATCAGAACAAACTTCAGGTAGAGGTGAAGTGTTCTAATTTCTCCACATATAGCTCACACCTTGTCCTGTAGACATCGATCTTTATTGGTTGACCTTAAACGTGTCGAAAAATATCAGCCAAACGTATCATCAGAAACAAAGTCAAGTACAGAAACCAACAAACACCTTAACCTACTATATATAAAAGGCATATCAGAAACTACAATGAGATTATCAAAGCCTTTCGGAATAGGTGTAGCACACAAGCCAACAAAATCACTACAATCAATCCTATTGAGACCAAGGGACGAAATGACAAAACAAGAAAAACCGAGCATCATCTAGAAAACAAATTGTGCCAACTGTGAAAAAACTACATTCGACAAAGCGGACGCCCTCTTCATATTTGCCTGCATGAATATCAAGAAGCAGTCAGACGCCATGACATATCCCCACCTATATCAATGCATGCGGACAACTGCGGACACACATTCGACTGGAAAAATGTGGAGATCCTCAACAGAAGCAATTCTAAAAACAGAAAATTTTCAAAAGCCTGTCACTCAGATCAATTAGAAATCAACAAGCACATTGAAATAGACCCAATTTATCAACTAAACAAAAAAATTATGGACGAACATAGGATCAAAAATCAAACCAATAGGAGATACAGACGAAATAAAGAATGACAGGTTTAAGGTCAATAATAACCAATAACGATCGAGTTCTACAGGACAAGCTCTAAACTATATGTGGAGAAATTAGAACACTTCACCTCTACCTGAAGTTTGTTCTGATGTTGTCGTTCAGAAGAACGATGAAAGCCCCACGACCAAACCACCCAGCTCAGAGAACAGAACTCCATCAAAATCATTCACCTGAGCTCCAAATCATCACCACCATCTCAACATTACTTGTTTATATAACAAATTAGTAATTAACTAAAAGAACCTCAGTTACACAGTAACACTTTTCTTTCAGATTATAAAATAGTGTTTAGAGAAATTTAGATTTATTTACAAAGTGATAAATGAAACTGGTTACTGACTACTTGGTTAGTAACAAAACAATGAACAAAATAACTCTTTTACATCTCAATGTTTTATTGTCTGATATCAATTTGTTGATTCAGAAAACTAAGATTGTATGTCTTATTAACCAACAATAAAATTATTGTTGACATATGAATAAACCTTTAAATCACAACATTGCTGTATGATTACGTAGTAGAAACTTATAGATATGAATAATTGAAAGTTACAGAAAACTACTGATCAATTGACCATACTCATGAAATATCTTCTCTTCAGTTAAACAAATAATTTTGTAACGCCAATACTATTCGTAGCAACGTTATTACTTATTTTCATAAACTCAATAAGATGACTTTTGTATCGTGGACCTTCTATTGGATATTTGGCTTGATAGTATTAAGCTATGAGAAATTATGGTGAGACAATAATTTATGGACAACCTTTGAGAAACGCTAAAATGACCTTGAAAATACTCATCTACTTACTAGGGTCAAATGACAGTTATAAATTAATGCGAGGAACTACGATTAGGATTTACAGTTGAATGTTAAGTTTAGAAACTATATTCAATGTTTTCATCACGAACTGATGATGCCGAAATGATATTTAGCCAAATGAGTGTATGAATCTCGCGCCAAAATGTAAGACCTCCTACCTTAAATCTGATTGGTTTATCCATAAATTATAGTCTCGCCCTTTCTTGCCCAATTAACTACCTATAATAATTCATGTTATCAGTTAATTACGTAATCAGAAAGTTCATTCCATTCAAATGAATAAGAATGTCTAATTTGTTTAAATAAATAATTTCAATTTACCAGTAAATGATATGAAAGCTTAAATTTTATAGTCATTCTATCTTTTAAAACAAAAAGCACATTATTTAACTCAGTAATTTAGATATTAAAATTCGTCATGAATACACTGTATGTTATATCCCGATGAGAATAATGAATGATAACTGCTAGAATCTATTTCTAGGCTAATACTATACGTATACTTCTATTGTATAATTGTTAAGTAACTAAACTATTCATATTCGTGTTTCTCTTATCATAAGCTTTATTTTGACTTATGAACTATTATTATACGATTTACCATTCATGAATTATTTCCTGTCTGTTAATCGCTACCTCCCTCATTCACAGCCACATCTGGCTAATTCTTGTGCAAATGTTGTTTCATATTTTATTGGTACGTTATGGTCGGTTCGATTGGTATATAAACACAGTATGCTTGAAATATAATGATTCATATCTCAGAGGCTGAGACTTGTGTTCTGGACTTAACAGGCAGGTTTAGGCAGGAAGCAGGACCGTTAAAGACACTAGACTGGTCCCATCGATAAATCACTGTTCTCTAATTGGCGGTATCATTACGTTATACATTAACAGGACATAGGGGACAAGTTATAACACTATTTCTAACAAAATAGTTTGATTGTTTAATGATTTATTGTTATACTCATGAAATACTTTTAAGTAGTATTTCTGTTTTTCAGACCTTTTTTCAGATTAAAAAGAGTGTGAAAGCGTCAAATTATGTACACTTATGATCTCATACGAAGTATAATAATAACAATCTACAAATAGACAAATAAAAATTGACAACCATAAAAGGGTTATGAGTGATTCTGTTACTTCTGACATGACACTTAAGTGGCTGACAGAATTATAGTGAATTTAGTTATCAATCCTAATGACTCTTAAGTGACGAAAAACCTGGTTAGCAACGCGAGGTACGAGTTATCTTCAACAAGAAATTGTAAAGCGGATTTAGTAATTTCGACTATACGAAACGATGAGCGCTTCGGAAACTGTCCATTCACATGACACTAAACTTTGATAAATAAATGCAGTCACTACTTTTCGAGATTTATCTGAAAATTCCCATTTTGCCATTTGGTAAACAAAGAAGGAACGAATTGAGCGAAGAAATTTCTTTTCAATTAGTTTTTCATCATGGCTCTACACTAATATACTAATATACTAAGAAGAGCCGTACAAAAAACATTTAATGCTGCCAGATTAAATGCAATCTTCTACAACTATCCCAAGACAAGAACAGCCAACAAAGACAAACTGCCTGAATTCGCCAAATCTATGTGTATCTATCGTTTCAACTGCTCCTGTGGAGCCAGTTATATTGGGCGTACAATTCGGCAAGTCCGTCATCGCATTACTGAACATCATCCGTCGTGGTTAAACAAAGGACAAGTAAAAGTGATTAAAAGTTCTATTCTCTCTCACTTGGTTGACACAGGTCATCAAGTCGAATTGAATAAAGCTTTTAAGGTTATCTACAATATCCCATCTAATTTGCCACATGGTTTACGAGTGCGCCTCTTGCACATTGCGGAAGCCATTGCAATCCATGTTCACAAACCTGACCTTTGTATACAAAAGAGATTCGTACAACCACTTTCCCTGCCCTGGCCATCAGTTTAAGATTTCCTTCAAAAGAACTATTTTTCATACTTCTTCCACTTGTTTTTTTTTAACTTTTGTAATTTTATTTCTGTTGCTTTTGAACTTAATAACTTCTCATCATTCATCTCTTGATTCTTACGTAACTACCATCCTATTGACCATCCGTTAAAATTCTGTTCCTTCTTTGTTACGCAACGTAGCAACTTCTTGATCACTTTAAATATTAATAATCCTCTTTCTTCCATTTAATCAATGTTAATTTAAATATCATTATGTAATTATTACGTAACGTATCCACTCGATGAGTATTATATCATTAGTGCAAATCATACTTATGTATATTAGTGTAGAGCAATGATGAAAAACTAATTGAAAAGAAATTTCTTCGCTCAATTCGTTCCTTCTTTACCTGAAAAGTTTAAACTACATCGTAAGTAATTCATTATGATTTATGGTGATTTATTATTATTATTATTAGCTTTATTCAATATTATATTTTTGGTATGATATAGAATTCTCAACGCAAAGTATTTCAACAAGTTTCCGTTTCTTTCTTCTTGGTCGGTCCTGGCGATAAATATTGAGTAATCGCCAGTTAAATGTTAGCAGTCCAGTAAATGAACATCTGAACAATGTACATTCTTTTCGTTGTATATCTGATCTACCTGTTCCTACCATCTACATATTTCAACAAGTTATCTATTTCCTATATATAGTATATATGGTAAATTGGAAGACTCATCAATATGAATAAAAACGTAGCCTACATATTCTTATAGTAAATGACGTCAATTATCGAATACAACGGTAAAGATTCATACACTCATTTGGCTAAATATCATTTCAGCATCATCAGTTCGTGATGAAAACATTGAATATAGTTTCTAAACTTAACATTCAACTGTAAATCCTAATCGTAGTTCCTCGCATTAATTTATAACTGTCATTTGACCCTAGTAAGTAGATGAGTATTTTCAAGGTCATTTTAGCGTTTCTCAAAGGTCATCCTTAAATTATACTATAAACTGGCTTTGATATTGAGAAAGTTTAAAAGACATTCAATAAACTATTGGACGCTGGCTCAGTGAGTTAAGCGTTCGCGTACGAGACCGAAGTCCCTGGGTTCGAATCACGCGGGGAGGATCATGGATGCACACTGCTGAGGAGTCCCACAATAGGACGAAACGGACGTCCAGTGCTTCCAAGATCCTAACATCAATCGGTTCATGATCTAAATCAAAAACTTAATAATTTCCACCACCCCTATACTGGTAAACATTTAATTGTCAATACCTTTTTTCATATTTCAATTCATTCACTTTCTATATGACGCGAATTGTTTGTCGTCTCCCTTTTTTTGCAGAATTTTATATCGAAAACAAAGTTTTAATGTCAATCAAAGAACACAGATTTAATACTTTCCTTAAAAGATGAAATATGAGTTACTATACGAGTAAATGATAAATTTTAAAGTTAAAACTATATACGTTAATGGTTTTTCTATGTGAATTAACATTCAAATTATGTAATGAGATGAATTTATGGTGACCCACATATATCTGACAACTAACAATAGCAGGTAATTTCAATTTATAAGCTAATAGCCATATTGAAACAATGAAGTCAGTATAATTGTTTGTTAGTTAACTAGAAATATATATACCTTCGTTATGGGATATACAAGCAATAAGAGAAAATTGGGGTATCAAGCACAATGTACTTAAATATATTTCGAATGGTGATTACCAATCGAAATTTATGATATATATTTAGTTCGTTAATGCGAAATAATCCCAGTAAATATCGCTTCCATAACTAGAAAGTCGTTTGTTACGTTAAACTGATCAATATTAAATTTTCAATGGTTGAGATCATGAGTGAATTGAAGCGAGACCACCATGGAGAACCTGGAAGTACTTGTTGGCTGTTTCGTCCTAGTATGAGACTTCTCAGTAGTGTGAATCCACGATCTCGGTCCCAGCGAGATTCGAACTCAGGACATATCAGTCTCGCGCACGAGTGCTCAACCATTAGACCACTGAGCTGGTCGGCATCTAACAGTGTTAATGTCTAACTTCAACCAGTTCACGTAATTGAGCGATACATCCACCATTGTCATCAATGAGTTACCATCTCATAACTGACTCAGTTGAACTCCACTGGTCAGTTTTTTACTAGAACTCCAGGATATACATTTTGAAACCAGTCACTAGTGAGCATATGTTGATTCATATCAGAAGGGCTTTTGTGGATATCATGATTCATGGTCTCAACCATTGAAATTACTATGATATCCACAAAAACCCCTCTGATATCAATCTTAAATTGCATGGAATGAATATTTCTGCCTTTATTGCTATTCGTTATTCAACATATTAGAAAATATTAAACAATCTCAATGTCTAGGTGTCCATTAAAGGATGGAGATTGGTCAACTAAGTACTGAATGGGGACGACTGAGAAGTAGAATGTACAGTTGTCAGTTTGATATATCTGTATAACTACTTTTCGAAATTCAGAATGCTTTTACTTCGATATAACTCTCGGTCTCTCTCTCTCTCTCTCTCAACTGTCATTCTAACTATCAAGTAACTTAAGTAGAAAATAAAGTTATTATGATCACTGGATAAAGAATAAATTCTGATTAAACGGTCAGATGAGAGACCAGTATGTTATGAATCTAATATCAATAGTTTAGTTTAATGTTTAACAGATGGTTTAGTAACCATTTGATATATAAAATCAAATGAGTTCGCATTTGTTTAACACAGCGTTCTACAAATTTTCGTCAATAATGTTTTTCTTTTTTTTAATGCATGGATCACAAATTCTGAGACAAGATAACTCACAATGATTCATAGTACTTTAGGAAACTAGATGGAAATTTCCATTACAATTTGTCTAAATATTGTTCAAATCGTGGAAAAGAAATATAAGTTGTTTGGGTAGATCTGTTTTGATTCCTGGCATAATAATAATAATAACAAATCAAATCCTACCTTCACAGAATATCTTCGGGATCTTTGACAGACATATCATATTTATTATATTTATAGATAAATAGTTATCTTTAAGGTAACCGCTAATAAATATTTAATTAAATATTCAATATGTATTTTAAACCTTATCTACTATTGAATCCCGAATATTTAGTAACTAAGCTCTTCTTTTAAGGTATTAATCTTTGATATTATATCACATATTCCAACAAATCCAATAAATATAAGAAAGGTATTTTTGTGAATATTATAGTAATTTGATAGTTAAGTTTATGAGTCAATTGAAGCTAAACCAACATAGAAAACCTGCAAGTACTTGATGGCCGTTCCGTCCTATTGTAGGACGTCCATGATCTTGCCTATAGGACTCGAATCCAAAATCTGTCGGTCTCGTGCGCAAATGCTTAACCTCTAAACCACTGAGCT